TTTATATATATACATATATAAATGGATTTATTATAAGGAATTGGTTCATGCGATTGTGGAGGCTGACAAGTCCAAAGCTCTGCCAGGTGAGTTAGCAAGCTGGACGTCCAGAAGAGCTGATGGTGTAGTTCTCGTCCAAAGGCTGTCAGACTCAAGACCCAGGAAGAGTAAGTGTTTCAGTTTGAGTCCAAAGGCAGGAAAAAGCCAATGTCGCAGTTCAAATGCATTCAGGCAGGAGGAATTCTCTTTTACTTGGGGGAAGTTTAGCCTTTCTCTTCTATTCAGGTCTTCAATTGATTGGATGAGGTCCACTAATATTAGAGAATGCAATCTGCTTTACTTAGTCGACCAATTTAAATGTTAGTCTGATCCAGAAACACCCTGTGATGGTTAATATTAAGTGTCAACTTGATTGGATTGAAGGATGTCTAGATAGCTGATAACGCAGTGGTCCCAACTTTTTGGCACCAGTTTTGTGGTATACAGTTTCTCCATGGGGTGGGGGATAGTTTCAGGATGAAACTGTTCCATCTCAGATCAGGCATTAGATTATCATAAGGAGCGGCACAACCTAGATTGCTCGTGTGTGCACTTCACAATAGGGTTGGTGCTCCTATGAGAATTTAATGTGGCCGCTGATCTGGCAGGAGGCGGAGCTCAGGCGGCAATGCTCACCCACCCTGCTGCTCATCTGCTGTGACGCTGGGTTCCTAACAGGCCACTGACTCGTATGGGTCCATAGAGGGGTTTGGGGACCCTTGTGGTAAAGTATTGTTTCTGGGTGTGTCTATGAGGGTTTTGCCAGAGGAGAGTGACATTTGAGTCAGTGGACTGGGAGAGAAAGACCCACCGTCAATGTGGGTGGGCAGCATGCAGTCAGCTGCTAAACAGCTAGAAGATGGCGGCCAGAAGAGGGATAACCTTGCTTGCTGAGCCTTGAGGATTTCATCTTTCTTCTGTGCTGGATACTTCCTTCCACTCCTCCTGCCCTTAAACATCAGACTCTAGGTTCTTTGGCCTTCGGACTCTGGGAGTTGCACACGGGCCTCCTGGGGACTTTTGGGCCTTCAGCCACAGACTGAGGGCTGCACTGTTGGCTTTGCTGCTTTTGAGGCTTTTGGACTTGGACGGAGCAACTGCTGGCTTCTTTCTTCCTCAGCTTGCAGATGGCCGACTGCAGGACTTCCCCTTGTGATAGTGTGAGCCAGTTCTCCCTAGTAAACTCCATTTCCTATATTCATTAGTTCTGCCCCTCTGGAGAACCCTAATACATATCCTCACAGAGACACTCAGAATTATGTTATTTTTTGTTTATTTTTTTGAGATGGAGTCTTGCTCTGTCACCCAGGCTGGAGTGCAGTGGCATGATTTCAGCTCACTGTAATTTCCACCTCCCGGGTTCAAGTGAGTCTCCTGCATCAGCCTCCCAAGTAGCTGGGATTACAGGCTCCCGCCACCATGCCGAGCTCATTTTTGTATTTTTAGTAGAGATGGGGTTTCACCATGTTGGCCAGGCTGGTCTAGAACTCTTGACCTTGGACTCCCAAAGTGCTGGGACTACAGACATTCAGAATAATGTTTGACCAAGTATCTGGGCACCTGTGCCCCAGTACAGTTGACACACAAAATCAACCATCACCATGGGTATCACCATGAGTGATGACTTCACCCTGTGAGTGCTTTCTTAAATTTTGTACCTTAGGCTCCTTGCTTGCTGTATTTCCAATGGCTGCTGTAACAAATTGCCACAAACTTAGTGGCTTAAGCAACACAACTATTATTTTGAAGTTCTGGTACAGAAGTTTGAAATCAGTCTTACTGAGCTCAAATCAAGGTTTGGCAGGGGTCCGTTCCTTCTGGAGGCTCCAGAGGGGAATCTGTTTCCTTGGCCTTTTCAGTTTTTAGAAACTATTCACATTCCTTGGCTCATGGCCCTGTTTGACCATCTTCAAAGTCAGCAATTTGGGGCCGAATCCTCATTCTGCCATTTCTCTGGTTCTCCCTTTGATTCCATCTTCTACTTTTTAAAGACCCCTGTGATTATACTGGGCATAGCGAGATAATCTGGGATAGCTTCCCTGTCTACAGTCAGCTGATAAGCAACCTTAATTCTGTCTGCAATCGTAGTTCCCTTTAGCCACATAACCTAACATATTAACAGGTTCTGGGCCTTAGGATGTAGACATCTTTTGGGGAACATTATCCTACCCACCATACCTGCCTCATCCTATCCCTACCCCTGGCAGCAGGGATTGCAAGTCAAGCCCATTCCTGGGAGACAAAGGCCTTTTGTGATTAATGGCTTCGGCTGGAGCACTCCCCATCAGCCCGACTGAAACTTATTTAGAATGACACTGCAGTCTAAGCCATTTCCTATTCTGCCTTCTTGTCTTCCTCCCTCTCTTCCACTTTGGTCAGACTTACATCATGGATAGCTCTCCCAGCCATCTTCTACTGCCTCCCTACTTTTCCCTCCCAGACTTTTCCCCTCAAAACATCTGTTGCAGGTGGTATTAATTTCCTATCACGGCTGTGACAAATTACCACAAACCCAGTGGCTTAAAATAATGCACATTTATTATCTGACAGTTCTGGAGGTCAGAAGTTTAAAATGGATTGGTAGCGCTACACTCCTTCCAGAGTCTCTAGGGGAGACTCTGTTGCCTTCCCAGATTCTAGAGGCTTCCTACTTCCTTCCCTCAGGGCACAGCAGTGCTCCAACTTCTGCTTCTGTGGTCCCATCTCCTTCTCTGCCTTTTGTGATTATATTGTGCCCACCCAGATAATTTGGGATAATTCCCCCCATCTCAACACCATTGGTTTAATCACAGTTGCAAAAATCTCTCCTCACATAAGGTAACATTCACAGGTTCCTGGGATTAGGACATGGACACATTGGTAGGGGCCATGACTACCACACGTCTAATTTCATCTTGGTGTCTGCTTTTCAAAGGACCCAAACTAGCAGTCACTTTAGCTAAAATGCCCTCCTATGAGCTTCTATGGTACCTTCCCCAAAAAGCACTGACACAACTCTAATTACTTCTGTGTTTATGTTCCCAAAGGACTGTGGACTTCCTGAGAATATTGTCTTATTCACTGGTATATTGCTGTTTAGTAAAACTGTCTGGCGTATTGTAGATGTTTAATATTTATTGAATTCTTTCTTGAATTAAAGTATTTGAATTAAAAAAAAAGACTTTTGAAAATGTAAGAGATTTCCATGGTAAGAAGTTTTAAATTCTTTGCTTGTCACAATATTGCCATTAAAAATTTAATGTGGCAAAGAGATTTGAGATTTCTATCTAGTAAATATTTCGTCCTTTACTGCAAGCCAGATCAATGGTTTCCCTCATAAGTACTGTTGGTCAGTTGCCTATTAGCTCTCAAGTTCATTTCTCCACCCTTTCCCTGTTCTGCTTCACTAGGATCTACGTTTCCCATGTACCCGCAATCTCTGGTTTCCAGGGAGGCAATAGTAGAAGATCAGAGAGCAGGACGAGAGAGGAGAAACATAGTATATCTCACCCTTTGCCCCACTCCCCTTCTGCTTCGAGTGTCCCTGGCAGTGGCGGTATCGTCTTTGTCTCTAGCTTCAAGACTCTGGTAGCACCAGTGCCCCCTGCTGTCCTTTCCATCCAAGTGGTGGTAGCACTTCCCACTCTTGCTAATTCCTGGGTTGCTTCAACATCCCTTTCTGCTTCTTAGCCTTGATTCCATCACCCACAAAACCAACTCCCTGTATTCCTTCTACCTGAAAGATCTGGAGTTGTGTTTTCCCAGTTACAAGCTGACTGATACAAGTACTGACAACTTTGAGGATTATTGGAAATTCTTAGTCCCTATAAAAAATTACTATCCTGATTATAACACTGAATGATCAGGAATTATGTTTTCCATCAACCAATTCTATTTAAACCCCATAGTCATTATAACTTCTGGTAGAAAAATAGAAACAAAAATTCTGTAAATCGAGTTTTGCTTTTCAAGAGTGGATCAAAGTTCAACAAGATCCAAATACTGTACTTACAAAGAAACAGAACCAATTCTCAGAAGTCTGATTTAAATCCTATGTTGATTTAGCTAGATTATATCTTATTCAGTTTCTACAATTTTATGCAGTTTCCCAAGTATGATGTTACTAAGAGGCCCTTTCACAGTTGTATGAGTAACTTAGAAAGTCACTGCTGTGTAAGAGATGCTTCAGGAATTAACTATATTCTTATTTTTATTGTGTAAAAAAATGCAATATCAGATGATGTTAAAATGAATAAAAGTTCAGCTGGGTGTGGTGGCACACACCTATAAATCTCAGTTACTTGACAAGCTGAGGCAGGAGGATCATTTGAGCCCAGAGTTTGAGACCAACCTGGGCAACATAGCTAGAACTCTGTCCCAAAAAAGTTAATAAACAAGGATAAGGCCCAGAGAATTGCAAACTGTTGAATCTAGAAATATAACTAGAGCTGAAGAGTAAAAGTATATATTCTTTTTTTTTTTTTTTTTCTTGCGAGGGGTGTCACTCTCACAACTCACTGCAGCCTTGGCCTCCCAGGCTCAGGTGGTTCTCCCACCTCAGCTTCCTCAGTAGCTGGGACCACAGGCGTGCTACCACGCCCAGCTGATTTTTTGTAGAGACAGGGTTTCGCCATGTTGCCCAGGCTGGTCTAGAACTCCTGGGCTCAAGCCATCCACTCGCCTTGGCCTCCCAAAGTGCTGGGATTACAGGCGTGAGCCATGGTGTCTGGCCTAAAAATATATATTCAGAACAAAAGGCTGCACACATTGGTAACCACAAATCACCTGAAAACTGGGTAGAAAGGGATAATTTACAGTGTAACAAAGGTTGGAGAAGTCAGAGAAAACCAAATTGGTGTGGTATTACATAGTGGAAAAAGTGAAAACTGAGAAATAAAACTTTGTTCATGAATATAAACTGAACACGTATTTCTGGGTCTGTTCCCTAAGCTTCATGAACGAAAACACATTTATATCAAATGTGTTTGTTTTTCATTTTAATCAAAACAAAATAGTTCTAACAAGATGAAAGTTGGTTGCTGACTTCTGTCACACAGAAGAAGAGATCTCCAAACCATTTTGTTAATGGAGAGATGATATTCTGACTGCTGGCCTCACATATCATTCTAAGTTAAACATGTTTTATAATAACACAAATGAACGAATATTTTTCAATATCCTCTTTTAATTTTTTTTGGCCGCATTTTTTGCATTTCATAATCTGATGTTTTATCATTTATATGAACTAAGCCTGATGAAACCATTCGACGACTTGTAAACTTTCCACTGTAGCTTTCTCGTTGCTTGTTAACCTCCGGAGCAGTATATGGTCTTGCAGAGTGTCTGGCATGATTATGGATATCATCTGAGCTTTTTCCTAAAAGCCTTGATCTTGATTTTACTTTTTTAAGGTGTGTAAATGAGGTCATGTCATGTAAATCCTCAAATTTATCTGAACAATCCTAAGTAATAAAATAAAAGATCAGATTGGTAAATTAGGTTTCTTAAAAGTAGGTTTTAAATTTAGAAGGACTTCTGATATGGATGGTCAAAAGAAAAAAGAAAAACATACAAGGACTAAAGTTTATAATAGCAACAGTTAAAGACAAAGAATGAAAACACTGGATGTTTCTTAGGCAGTCTCTAAATTCAGACCCTACACCCATGCCTCTCGTTAGATACTGTGCTAGATACTATGCTAGAAACCATGCTTTAAAAAGATCTTACTGTTACAAAGGATCCATTATTTCAAAAGATATTGAAGATAAGAAGCTAGAAACCTGAAAAACTTGAGAGCTGACCTCAGGGGACAGACTCCTAAGCAATGCTGGCCAGATTACTTTGTAATTTCTCTCCACCAAAATCTCTCTCCCCGACCCCAAATATAAATTACGAACTCTTATATTTTACTTTTTATGTCATCCAGAATTTGATCTTTCATCCTTTAATAACCATCTTTAATTTATATACATACAGAGAGAGGGAGAGTGTGTGTGCCACATCCAAGAATATGGTTGTAATGTTTACATTAAAAATAAAAAATTGCATGTGTACTCTGAGTAAACAAGTAAAACATTCAGTAAAATAACTGGAAGGATATATACCATAATAAATGATTCTTTTTCAAATTTTCTATTATATAGCTATATAAGGTATGAATCTAGTAGTTATCCTCAAATTAGGGTAAGCAATTTCCTCAGCAGTTTGAGCAGCTCATCTCATAATACTTTGCAAAGATAGCCACACCAAGGGAGTGGGCTGCTTGATTTGAACACAGGTGGGGATGGATTAATAGAACTGGGGGTCAGGGAACATTGGGCAGGACTAATAAGAATTAGGCAGTCAGAAAAAGATTTACAAAAAAGAATGTATAATGAGTCTAAAGATAAATTCTACCTATTTAACATTTTTGCCTGAGTTTGAAGAAGGCAAGAAAACATTCTTCCTCTTCCCTCTTATGTACACAAGCCAATTAGGGAAGCCACACTGCGATGATTTATGCTATGTTAGTGAGTAACATAATTTTCCTTCACAGCTGATATAACCCATTACTGGAGTGGCAGTGGAAGGGCATGGAGACCCAGGCCACTGGTCACTTTTCTAGGTGCTCCTACGACTCAATTTCTCTCTCTTTTGTCTTGATTCCTTTGGGAGATTCCTGGATTTTAGAAAATCAGATGAGTAAGTTGTTCTGATCATCTGAAAAATGCCCGCTTACTACTCAATTATCTATTAGAGGAAAGTTTAGGAACAGTTGGTTTAACCAAGAGAAATAAAGATAACTCTATCTCCCTTGCCTCCTCTTAGGATAAGGGTTCTGAGATCCTATATAATCTTATATCATTTAACATAAATGCAATTTCTTACTTTGCTTGAAAAGTTGTATTCAAGATTCCATTTGTCTTAAAAAAAATCAGAAAATCCTCTTTGAAAACTATGACCCCATCTTCTATCTTTTTTCCAAGTGTGTAGACACGTGTATATATACAAACACTCACCCTCTCAATACTAAATTTCCAAATTTAGATAGAAAAGAAAAATCCAAAATTGAAAGTATAAGCTGGTATTTTTACCCTGCCACTATATAGTTAATATTTAACTGTATAATATATAGTGTGTATAATATATAGCTATATAATATTTACCCTGCTACTATAAAGCAAATAGTTTGCTTTACTGTGGAAAATAAAATCAAAATACTTATGCAGAAATTAGATTTATTTTCTCAAAGGGAAAATTATGCACATCAAAGTATCAATTTAATATGAGTTTTACCTACTCATATTTACTTAGCAGTTTTTCCAATTATGGATCATGCCTGTTATGCATACTACAGGGAAGACCAGTGATTCAGAAAATTAAAAGTCCCTTCCATTCTAGATTTTAAATTTGCTTTAGAATGATTTGTATAAAGTCTAGTCGCAGATTTACTTTCCTAATTTTTTTTTTAAATTTTATTTATTTATTTTTTTTGGAGACTGCTCTTGCTCTGTTGTCCAGGCTGGAGTGCAGTGGCGCCATCTTGGCTCACTGCAACCTCCGCCTCCTGGGTTCAAGCGATTCTTGTGCCTCAGTCTGTCAAGTAGCTGGGATTACAGACATGCACCACAACACCCAGCTAATTTTTGTATTTTTAGTAGAGACGGAGTTTCACCACATTGGCCAGGCTGGTCTCGAACTCCCGGCCTCAAGTGATCCACCTGCCTCAGCCTCCCAAAGTGCTGGCCTTATAGGCGTGAGCCACCAAGCCTGGTCTCCTGATCGTTTTATGTTAATATTAAAAATATATTTGAATTCTCAAGTTTCTCAGCACATGATATAGCATGGTGGTGAAAAAAGAAAAGACTAGAAGTTAAATTCTTGCAATTCATAATCCAATGGATTGTAAATTTTACATATCCCTAATTTTTAGCCAGATAACTGGCACATAGGAGCTTCATATTTGTTTAACCGAAGCAAAGATAATTCGGCTATGTGAAAAAATAAAAAAATAAAAAACCTCTAATAGTTGTAGTTAATCTCTATGAAAAGAAAATGTCAGCTGTGTTTCCACAGTATTGGGCCACAGCCAATAGTTGTACTAATTTTAGTCAGGGCTAAAATCCAGACAGTTTTCCACAATCAGGACTATGTACTCTGACTCTCAGCTGTGTCAGCTGGGAGAATCTGCCCAGAGGAAGAGGGCACCTTTTTCTAATTCATGTCCCAGATGGTGGGTTGGGAGGAAGGGTTGCCACTGTTTATTTCATAAAAAGGTAGTAGGTGTGTTAACAGTCTCCCTGATTTTGTGATTGCATTTTGAATCACGTGAGGTGATATTTAAGTTTCAGAGGAATGTTTTGTTTTGTTTTGTTTTGTTTTGTTTTGTTTTGAGACGGAGTCTCGCTCTGTCACCCAGGCTGGAGTGCAGTGGCCGGATCTCAGCTCACTGCAAGCTCCGCCTCCCGGGTTCACATCATTCTCCTGCCTCAGCCTCCTGAGTAGCTGGGATTACAACCATATGCTACCACACTGGCTAATTTTTTGTATTTTTAGTAGAAACGGGGTTTCACCGTGTTAGCCAGGATGGTCTCGATCTCCTGACCTCGGATTCACCCGCCTCGGCCTCCCAAAGTGCTGGGATTACAGGCGTGAGCCACTGCGTCCAGCCTTTCAGAGGAATTTTTAAATTGGAGGTCTGTATGTCTTGGGGGTAATTAAGGTTATACACACAGTTGGATGTAGATACACACACCCTAAATTATTGCCAGAACTTTGTCAAATACAGAAGTAGAAGACTTAGAAAAACATCATTACATGTATAGTAGTTCTTGCAGTCCAGTGAAGCAGTGTCCTTGGAACAGACTTCTTTAGGTGAATTCTTGTGGTGGGCAGTGTGGTTGGCAGTATCCTGACTATCTTGTTAAATGACTTCTTTGGTTTGGCGACACGGTCTCTTTCTTTTCGGACCTTGGGTTTTAGATCTTCTCTCTTAAATAATTCTGGGAAGAGGGATGGTTTCGAGTTTTTCTCATTTTCTACATCTTTATATTGGAATGACTGTATTTCAGGGAACTTGGCACATTTTTCAGTGCAAATTTCATCTGGTTTTATATAAAGAGTTTGTATTTCTTTTTTGTATTGTGCAAATGTTACTAAATGTTTTTTATTATTGTTATTATTTCCTTTCAGTCTCTGACAATACTGGTCTTCTAATTTTGATTTTTCCTCAGTCTCTGTATTGAAATGAGTTAAAGTGCTAGTTTGCCAGGAAGGAAAAGTGAGTCTGTTTACATATTCATCTTCCCTTGGCATTCTGGCATTAGGAATTCTTGGATACGATGTTAATACTGCTTCAGGTTTTTCCTGAACAGTCCATTTATAGATGTTTACATGCTCCTTTCTATCAAGGGACTTCATTTTCTGTGTCCTTTCACACCAAGCTTTTGATTGAGTTATTTTTGATTTACCACCCCAACTATATGGGTCTTGAATCTGTGTTTTATAAACAGAATTTTCTGCTTGAGGAAGCTGCATAAATACATGTTCTTTCCTTAGTTTCTTAAGCAGTATATCTGTAAGTGTTTCTGATGAATTGTTTAATGGACTTGCCTGGGTATTTTTATTGGAAGAAGGTTGTACTTTGATTAAACTTGGTGTTTTAGCTTCTTCTTTAGTGTAATAACTTTTCTGTTCCCTAATTAAAGATGAATTTTCTTTTAAATTCTGTAAGGGAAAATATTTCTTTTCTTTCTCTCGAATCAGTTCTGTTTCTCTAAGTTTATCCTCAGAAACCGTTTGTAAAGTGGTTTGTTGAACAATTCTTGAATATTTATTTTGCTTTTCTGAATGCTTCTCCACAAAGTGATGGTCATCTCTAAAAGGTAAATGTGTCTTTATATATTTTAATGGTATAGAACTAGAATTAAGCAAATTTATATGCTGGTTGATCCCTTCTAATTGCCTTTTTGTCATTAGTCCTGATTTTGAAAGTTTTTCTAAAAAAAGACCCTGGAGGTGTTTGCTTAAATCAGCTTTTAGATGTAATAATTCATTTTCTGATAAAGCTATCAGATAGTTTTGTAGAGATTTACTTAAAGGATATTTCATGTTTATTTCAAACCTTCTACCAAAACTCCCCTTTGAAATATCTTGTTCTAGTTCATGAAAAGAAAGTGAGACACTTTTAGTCCTTAGAGAAGACATGTTTGGGTATATAGTCTCAGATTCTGTCTCATTAAATAAACTGCTTTCTGAAATGTTTTTTAGGAAATAGTTTTGGAGAATCTCATTTAAAAAAGACCTTAGCTTTATTTCTAAATGTTTATCTATGAAATGATGATTGAAATTTTTGACAAAAGACATGATTTCTTTCACAGTTTCAGAATATTTCCCCTGAAAACTGTTTGGCCCTTTCCGCTCTACCTTCTCATTCATCAGATACAGATTTCGGTAGATTTTTGGTAAGTCCTCCTTGGTGATATGTCCTGATTCTGAAAGTCTTTCTACAAGGTAATGCTGGATTTGTTTACTTAATTCAGATTTTAAATTTTTTACTTCTGACTCTGAGAGTTCTTCTAGAAACACACGCAACTTTGGACTCAAAATATGTTTTCTGTCTAATTTGTCTACTTTATCAAAATTCTCTTGGATTTCTTTAAGGTGTTCTGTGTCACTTGTAAAAGAAGGTTGAATTAGTCTTTCTAATTCTCTTTCTGGTTGTCCTCTTCTTTCAAATTGATTATATTTGAAAAAAACATTGAAGATGTTTTTTAAAAAGGATTTTAACATTATTTCATCTGATTCATTAAGTTTATCCATTAATGAGTTAGTTAAACTTTCTAAAGTAGAACTGAGGTCATTTTCGTCTTTACCAAGCCTCTGACCATTTCTTGGCAAATCCAGTTCTTTATTTGCTATTGAATAATAACTTGAATCTTGTGGGAACATATTTTGGTCTTCCTGTATAAATTCAACTCTACTAACAGAAGTAGTGTCTTTGGGAATGATGGGTATATTCTGCTCAGAAAGAGGTTCTGTCTCGCTTCTGATTTCTGAATAATACTCTTGGGAATCCTTCAGCTTTCCTTTAGGTGAAGTGATCCCCGTACCCAGCAAAGAACTCTTACGGCGTTCTTTATCTAATTCTATCACTTTGATTATCCCAGATTCTAAAAGAATATCTACAGGAAATGCTTGTATTATCTGGCTTATAGCAGATCTGGGCTGTGGCAATTCTATTTTATCAGCATTATCTTCATGAAGTAGAATATGTGATGACAAACTTCTCTTCCAAGGTGTAGGTACTTGATTTTCCAAGTTCATTGGTGTTTCACTTGGCTCTTTCACTTCTACCTCCAATTCTGAGAATATTGGTGCAGTGAATATTTGCCTTATAATGTAGTCATGTACAGTGCCACTTGAACCTGATTTGGAGTTAGGTACTTCACTTATTAAATGTTTCTTTTTGATACTACTCTTTTTTTTAATTGGAAAATCTCTCTCATCAGCTTCGAAGTGTGTTTTAGAGACATGTTCTTCTACCTCCGGAGATTGTCCTGGTCCACCTTCTGAAAAGGAATCTGCAGGAATATTTTTAATTATCTGACCCTGTTCTGAAAGTGAATATTCAGGAATATTTTTAATTACTTGACCACCTTCTGAAAGTGAATCTGCAGGAATATTTTCAGTTATTTGACTACCTTCTGAAAATAAATCCACAGGAATATTTTTAATTATTTGACTTAAAATAGTCTTTGAATTTAAAATGTCTTTTTCTGAAAGCCAGTTGTTTAAATCTTGTTTTTTTCCCAATATGTTGTCTTCCATACTACTTGATGATTTATCATGAATGCTTGTAAGTAGAGAACTACTTTTCTCTCTTGCTTCACTGTTCATACTAACTTCTGGTTTAGAAAATAATTTGTCTGAAAGGTCTTGCAGATTTTTACTTAAAATTGACTTGAGTATCATTGATTGTTTTAAATATTCTATCTGGGGGGTAAAATTTAAAGACTTTGAGAGGTGACATGTATTTGCATGTACATTTCCAGCCTTTGATGATTCTCCTTTGAAACTTGGTAAACATACATTTGGTAGATTTTCTTTTAAATTATTCTTTGTATCTAAACCCTTTATCGTATTGATAGTAGGGTCAGGGGCTAACTTATTCTCAGTTTCTGACGTCTTTGTTGTGAAGATATTAGGGTCATGGGCCCAGGTTTTATTAGCAGGTCCTGCAGTTTTTGATTGTGCTGGATAAGGAGGATCCTGGTCTTCGTGCTCTATAACCTCTGCACCTAAAATGTTTCTACATTTGTATATATCTTGATCTTTTCTTTTACTGACTGACATTTTGTTTATATTCCTTAGAAAAGGATCAAAACCGTTCTTGTTGACTTTCTGAAACTGCAATGTTAAAAAAAAAAAAAAGGTAAGACGTTTGGTAGCAATGATTTTGAATTTATTATACATTTTCTAGTTAATTTTCTTTGAGCAATCTGTCAATGTATCTATTTACTCTCCTACCCTCCACAAAGGGAGAAAATCAACTTTAATTATTTTAAAATATTTGAAATTGAAATAAAATATTTTAATGGAAAAATTTCAAATTCTTAATTCTGATGCTATTTTGTGTCCAAGTGCTTTTTGCTACTTGGAATATTTTTAAATACTTAAAAAGCCATCCATAAAGAGTTTATTGTTAAGAACTTAATTTCTAGTGTTAGCTTCATTTCCTTAGACAGTAGCTAACATCAGGATCCAAGTCTCATCTACCTAAATATTTGCTACATTCATAGCAATGTAGGAAATATTTTTTTTTAAATTCAAGCAAGTAGTGAAAAGTACTAAAATGAAACTCACGAAAAGTATCAAATATTCTCTGAAAACTGACTTGGGGGCATATATCATCTGCCTTTAAGTCTGAGAGTTTCAACAATGATAATGAGCTCCACCCAGTCCTTAACATGTCACAGTTTAATCTTGCTTTTTGATGCATACTGTATAATGCCCCAGAAATGGGTAAGGGAGAACCATATAGAAAACTCAGGATTACAGTAAAATTTCAGTGTAATATTCATAAGCAGCTTTTTAGCTCTAGGATCAGGCTCTTCTATCATTGAAACAGCCTTCAGAATAAATATTCTTATTGAAACTCTTTTTTCATACTTCTGTGTTATCTAACTAAAAGAAAGCAAAATGTGAAAGAATCAGCCTACTATTTGTCTTATTTTATTTCAACTTAGTAGTTCAAAATTATTTTTAATGGATGCAACTTATTGTAACTGGTTTTCAAATTCTAGTGGATACCCAGATGACAAATTAAGAATCTCCTTAGTTTTTTTATTTTTTTTGTTTTCTTTTTTGAGAAATACAAATTCCCAGGTTCTGTTTCTGGGTTGAGATTCATTAGGTCAGAAATGGACCTGGGAATGTGTATTTTTTACAATAGCCAGGTGTTTCTAATGAGTAGCTTTTTAGAACTATTGAATTAAAGTATTGAAGAAACCTAGTAATTAAATATAATGATATTGGGATAGAATAATTCAGGACTCACCTGAAATTTTGGTTTGAATTCTATATATTCTGGTCTGAAAGATGGTGAATTATATTCTTTTGGTGAAAAAGCCACCTTATAAAAAAAGAAGTTCTAATTTTAGATTACTTGTAAGAGTATCAAGATCATTTTATTCTTGCAATAGTTATTAGAGGTATAAAATTTTTAAACCTAAATATTTTTATCATAACTATACTTGCCAATTATGAAAGAAATCTGTATATATATAATATTATATATGTGAAATATTGGCTTCGTTGGTATTATAATAGTCACCCTATTGAATTCGTAAACTCAAAATAATGCACAGCAACTTCAAGCAGAAACAAAAGTAAAAATAAAATAGAATTGTCAGAAGAAATGTAATCTGATTTGAATTGAATTTGTAAACTCAAAATAATGCACAGCAACTTCAAGTAGAAACAAAAGTAAAAATAAAATAGAATTGTCAGAAGAAATGTAACCTGATTTTTAAAAGGCTGTGAGATACCTTTAGACAATACATGGCAGCTCATAGTATATTGAGATAGCATTTTATTTATTTATTTATTTATTATTTCGAGACAGTCTTGCTCTGTTGCCCAGGCCAGAGTGCAGTGGTGTGATCTTGGCTCACTGCAACCTCTGCCTCCTGGGTTTAAGCGATTCTTGTGCCTCAGCCACCTGAGTAGCTGGGATTACAGGCATGTGCCAGCACATCTGGCTAATTTTTATATTTTTTGTAGAGACAGGGTTTTGCCATGTTGGCCAGGCTGGTCTCGAACTCCTGACCTCAAGTGATCCATCTTCCTTGGTCTCCCAAAGTGCTGGGATTACAGGCATGAGCCACCGCGCCCAGCCATAGATAGCATTTTCAGTGATTATCAACCTGTCACTGTTAAATGAAGATGTAAAACTCCTTAAAGAAATACTTGAGTATTAAATCAAGATGTATGAGAACCATTACAGGATCACAAAACCATTGAATTTTTAGAAATGGAAGTGTTTTGGAGATAAACTAGTTCTAGTTCTTATTTTACACAGAATCTGAAGCTGAAGTTTCTTGTCCCAAATTACCCAGATGATTAGTAGCTTAAATCCTAGGTGTCCAAAGTTTTCATTGGGTACTCAGTTCCTCACACAATCCTGATAGCAGTGAGGGAGAATGAGTGGCTTTAGAAGCATCAGAATGTGCATCCACACTGCCAGCTCATACAGAGAGAAAACGTGACACATCTCTTTACAGAACACTTGGTACTTCAAATGACTCTCCTATACATTATCTCCTTTAGTCTGTAGAGGCTTCACTATGGACTAAATTAAGTAAAATAACAATTCAATGAGTAACATTTTTATTAGAGATACTTTTAGGTTGTTTTAAGGTTTAATTAACATTAAGCAGTTAATAAATGACCCTATTCTTAAAGCCTCAGTGGCTTCCCACTCATTGTCCTCACACACCAACTCTGTATTGTCTCTGCAAGTTTCTCAATATTTGCCAGTATGGTTCCTCTCCTCCAGCCAAATGTGTCTAACTCTGAATTCTTGACATATATCTTGTACTTCCATACCTATTCTTTTGTTCCTTTTGTTTTTCTTTGCTTAAATTTCTCCCAAATCTCTCTTAAACACAGTTGACATTATAACATTTGAAAGTTTATTGCTTTAAATGAATTTAATAGAAAAATCTAAAAAAGACACATGTATGATAAACAAGTGAAAGAACAAGTAGTAGAAAAATATAATTTCATTTTTGAAACAAACAAAGCAAACAAAAAATCCCCCCTACTACAAGCATGGACAAATGTGTGAATGGATTCAAAATGCTTACATTGTTTTCTCACGGGAGTAGCCCTGGAGGAGAGGTAGGAGGATGCTATTAACGTTTACTCTGTTTAACTGGGCATTATTGATTAGATGAACATATAATACTTTCATAAATAAAAAGCTTCAGTAAAGTAACATTGGGGGAATGTTCTAGGTATGCATGTTAGGAAGCTAGGAAGAGACAATTTAACAAATCAATACAGGAGCTTCAAGATGGCAGACTGAACATGTGAGTCTACTCTCCTATCTCCCAAGGTGCCAGTACATTAACGGAAAATATTATTTCACAAATAAAGAACCATGGCAATACTGGAAATCAGTAAGGTGAGCTACCAGGATCTAGACCTTTGAGAAAATTCAGAAAATGTGAGAGTAGATATAATTGACTTAATGGAAAACCCCAATCAGAAAAACCATAACCTTAAACAATAGTTATTAGAGATGTAAAATCAGGGAGGCCTGAGAAGCAATACATTCCAAGTCAGTGTATTAATCAGGGTTCTCCAGAGGGACAGAACCAACAGGATATATGTATACATAAAAGGGAGATTATGAGGGAGAATAGCGCACATGATTACACAGCGAATTCCTGCGATAGGCTATCTGCAAGCTGGAGAAAGAGAGAAGCCAGTAGTGGCTCAGTCCAAGTTCGAAAGCCTCAAAACCAGGGAAGCCAACAGTGCAACCCTCAGTCTGTAGCTGAAGGCCTGAAAGCCCCCTGGAGACCGCTACTGCAAGTCCCAGGGTCCAAAGGCCGAAAAACCTGGAGTCTGATGTCCCAGGGCAGGAGGAGAGGAAGCAAAGCATCTGGCAAGGGAAGAGGGAGTGAGCCAGAAGACTCAGCAAGCAAGCTCATCCCTCTTTCTCTGTCTGCTTTGTTCTAGCTGAGCTGGCAGCAACTGGACAGTGCCCACCCACATTGAGGGTGGGTTTTCCTCTCCCAGTCCACCGCCTCAAATGTCAGTCTCCTCTGGTAACACCCTCACAGACACACCCAGAAACAATACTTTTCCAGCCCTCTAGTCATCTCTCAATCCAGTTAAGTTGACACCTAATATTAACCATCACGCTCAGCATACACAAAGAAAATCAGATCACGGGAACGTCCATAGTTATTAAAGAGCTGCATTTGGAACAGCTAGACCTCTTGGACCCTTCGTTATCACCCCTTTCTTTCTCTGTGCACACAGATCAAACACTGCTGGCAGCACTCTTTCCCCAGTCACTCTCCCAAACATCAAAAAACTGTTCTCTAAGGAGAATATGGCATATTCCTATGCAGAGATACAAGTTTTGGGCCTTGACAGGGAAGCAGAGTAAGGACTGCTGAGACTCACACTTCCAAATTAGAAAACTAAAAGGGGATTTGAAAAAAAGGGAGTTCCATCCAGGAAACACACTGGTTCTTTGGAAATGTAGAGAACTCAGTGATCCTACCTACCATCTTCCATCCCTACACACCCTCCAGGGAAGCCTGCCTAGCACATGGACAGAGCATACCTATACAATCAACATACCCCTCCATTTATAAACATAAAACGAAGTTTACCATGTATATGAGAAAAATTGATATATGTAAGTGAAGAATCAATAAGAACAAATGGAACTAACTCCAGCGTAAATAGAAATATTTCTGAGGAATGTAGGAGGAGGGTGATCCTTGGAAAAGATTCTAAATAGCTCAGAGATATTCAAGAGAATATTGAGTTCCCTTTAGCTGTATGATGATTATCTCAAATTTAATGTATATAAAATACAATTTTAGATTAGGCACCACACTCCCAAAAAAGAAAACCCTTAGGCTTTCTGTTTTTCCTCTTCTCAGTTGATGATGCTTCTATCTCTGGAATTGTTAGGCCAGAAACCTAAGAGTTTGTATTCCTCTCCTTCTCCTTTCCATAACTAATCCCGCATTAAGTCCTGTGGCTGCTGCCTTCAAAGCAGATCAAGTATGACCAGGCGCGGTGGCTCACACCTGTAATCCCAGCACTTTGGGAGGCTGAGGCAGGCGGATCACCTGAGTCCCGGAG